TAATGGGACAAATAAAAAAAGGGTTATCCTCTACAATTGTCTATGTTGGGAAGAGTGGTGGTATCACTGCCGACTATAAAACAGGGAAGGTATAACCCTTTGCGGAGGACAGCCACCAGGACCTGTTCAGCCCCAGCACAGAATGAAGTGCTTTTATTTTTACAGTTTAAGCTTGGCCAGGTGCTCATTTGAAATGGTTGTTTTCTTATGTAGGCACACCTGACGCATGTTTGCATTCGTATGTGCATGTAGGTGGGGACGGGGTTTACTAAACTCCATTGCATTCACATAGGGGAGGCTCACAAGCCCCTATGTGATAGCACTTTAGTGGTGAGATTCTCTTTGAGACATTAGGGGTCTATTCAACCCGTCACATTTGCAACCCACCTACGCTGATCAAGCACACAATAACGCTTCCCCACTCCATTCAATACCAATAAAGCATTTTGGCCTTAAGCTTTAGGAACTCCAGCAGCATCCAGCAGTTTGTTGTGCATAGACACTCTAGACTATAACTTTACCAGTCCATGATTTCACTATTCCTCGTGTAGCCGTCAATATATGAACAGCGAAGGCAGCATATTGTTCAAATGATGTAAATTACCAACCTGGTCACCTCTTCATCCTAATCCCTATACAGTACAGTATCAGAGGCTGCAGGTTCGGCTGGGATTTTACAGGGAAGGGAACATGTGTTAGAAAAGCATTATTTGTTTTTTTTGCGATTCTATCTAGTGGAAAAAAATAAATGTAGGCACACCTGAGGCATGTTTGCATCCCTGCATATACATATACATAACCTTGGCCTTTACAGTGTTACCAAGCATTCCTGTCTTTCCTGCTGTAGTTCCAATACCGAAATGATATAAAAAAGGCAAAAATAAACATAAAAGAGCTTTAATTAAATGTAATCAGACATGATTTTAAGCAAGTAAAAAAAAATTATTGATAAGTGCACATTTAAAGTGACCCGTTAAGAGAGAAACATTTTTTCCAAAGAACAGTGCCCTGCAGGAGAAGAGGTATTATGCTCACCTTCTCCAGCAGCCCATATGTGCTACCTCCTCTTTGTTCAAGCGCTGCAAGCTCCGTCAGCGTCTTCAGCATTCAACACTTCCCAGAGTGTTCCAAGCCTCTATCCCAAACCACGCACTGTGGTTCCATCTTCTGACCCCCTATGTCACTGCGGAGCCCTACAGTGACACAGGGGTCAGAGGAAGACACCAACACATGGCAGGCAACACAGGGACCAATAGTCCCGGAAGCCTCAAATGCCAGAGACAATAAAGGAAGCTGCAGCACTGGAATAGAGGGGACAGGTAAGAGATGAGTGTAAAAACTCTGGTCTTGCAGAGCACCGTTCTTACAATTCTTTTTTCCCCTAAAAAGGGTCACACTGACATTATAACGCTTCAAGATCACATGACAAGTTTCATTTCCAGCTGCTCATCTGACAAAAGACAAAAAGGAAGTGACCAACTCCTGTAAATGCTCTTATAGGATCTACGGTAGATACGAAAGAGCAACATTTTTAAAGAGAAAAGTAAAGTTGGCCATACACCAGTAGAATGTAGAATGTCATTCTACTGAAAAAAAATGTATTTTCCAAATGTTCGCTCAATTTTCTAACGTTAATGGATTTAAAGCAGCGATTGCCTTCGACTGTAGTGACAGAAGAAGAAGAAGAAGAAAAAAAATTGGAAATTCTCCAACGAGATTCTAACAGTGAATGTGGATTTTGCTCGGGAAACTGCCAACTGTACAATTTGTGAATTTCCATGACAACAGTAAATCAGAACAAATAGAAAGGGTGAATCCCACCAGTGGCGACGCAGACAATCATTAAAACCCGACAGAGGATTATACCCTTCCCCCTGGAAACCAATAGCCAAGAGGGAAAAAAAAAGTTCAAGCTACACTTCAAGTGTCAGGGAGGGGAGTATGTATGTGCCAGCATCCTCAGTATTGCGAGATGAAGAGGCATATTAGCAAGAACACTGAAACAGATCAGACAACAACCCTGCTGCCAAGTTTGGTGCTTTATACAGTAAAGCCGAATAACAGTCATGATGGTTTCTGGTTTTCGGCTAAATAAATATCGCTGGAGAATGAGATTTCCTATTCGGATTTAAAAAGGCTCATTGTTGATGTAGCGGCTGAACACGGTGAAGGCAGAGCTGGGCTTATCCGTTGGCACCATATGTCCGGCTCCCTGTAAGAAGATAACAGTGTCAGTATGCAGTGTAAATGGAGGCTACAGAAAGGAGAGCTGGTAGTAGTAAGTCGCATTCAACTGGACTGGTCCTGTAATGGTGAACGCCCAGTCCAATGAGACCAGCTATACCGTGACCTGGACAAATGAGAACCTTCACAGACGGACGTAATTGAAACATTTTGCAATTGGAACAACCTGAGTTTACTTCAGATCTGTGTTAAAGAGACCCTGTCACTATACTACCACACAAGCTATCCCTGCAGAAGACAAGTAGATAGGCTTACCTCTCCTGCCACCTGCATCCACCTATGTTCTAGAACCTTTCTAGGGCCGGGACCCCTTGGTAACATTTGCCAAGTTGTGGTGACCCCCAACCGTAAAAATTTAGATGCACCAATATTAGTATCTGTGTGGGCTTTCGGGAGGCTATGCGGGCTCTCAGGTGGCTAGTGGGACTCTCTGGTGGCATCCAGTGCAGCCCCTGTGGTGATCAAGCACTCACCAGCCCTCACTCCTGCCTGCTCCCCTCTATCTGATCCTCTCCGGCCGCTGCAGCGCCATCTAGGAGAACAGACACTGCTGCGCTAGGAGGCGGCTGAGGAGCCTCTTACCTAGAGCAGCACAAGGCGCATGGGGACCCCCCTCAACTGTGTGTTGCGACCCACTTTTGGGCCGCAACCCACAGGTTGAGAACCACTGTTCTAGAACAATAACTCCTATAAAAAACTACAAATCGCTGAGTATTTCATTTTCGGTTTGTTTTCCCTTCTTTGATCAACAGAAATACTCTATCATGTCTCTGCAAAGTAACCTGAAGCACATCTCAGGGTAAAAAAAGAATTCCCCTTGCAGTGGGGCTGTTGCTGCACTGGAAGGATTAAATGCTTGTTTAGCTCTAGGGTGTCAGGTAAAACATTTACACTTTCCTGATCCCTGCTCCCCTGGCAGTCAGAGCTCTCTTGGTCTCCCCTATGCTCCCAGTTGTGGACCCTCGGCCCCCACAAATACAATGCAGAGCTAGGGGCCATGCATTGTAAGTGACTAAGTCAGCAGACCTTCGATTGCCAGAGTCCTTTTTCCAGGTACCTTAGACCTGAACAAGCATTTAACCCTTGCAGCGTGGGGGCAGGCTTCAGCTAACAGCATGAATGAACCAATATCCCGTGTAGTTTGTTTACTGACAGAAGCACCCGCTACTGTCAGAATACCCAAACAGCTGATTGGCTGCAAGCACTGCTCAACCGATGATTTTCTAGCATGTCCCTTTAACAAAAGTCAATCTAATGATTAACTTAGGGCCATCCACAGATAGAATTTCGTCCGTTATCTGCTGAATTGGCCAAAATACGCTCCGTGCGTATCCAGCTTAACTTACTGGCAAGAAAAGACGCAGTAATATAGGCCACAGGAGTATACGTATCTAGAACTCTCACCTTTATTGTAAGGAAGGTTAGGTTGGAAAATTCTTTCACAAATCCACCAATTTGCTGCTGGTCCCCAACGGTGTAAAGCCACGGGCGGCGCTGTACCTGCAACTGAATGTCAGAAAACAACGTCAGTGAACCATCCACAAGCAGGTAGAACTTAACACCTTAAGCTATAAACACAATAAATTAGAGCCTGACCCTGCAGATTTTAGCAAGACTGGGCAGGGATGATCATCTGCCAACCAAAGGGGGCCAAAAATCCTAAAGGAGGCATTGCCGCCTGCTTATGTAGAACAAAGTGACAGTGTCTGCTGATGGTCCACCCTCCCCTAGAAGTTAAACTTGCCCATCCATAATCTCCCAATGCCTCCTAATGAAAATCATGTCTCCTGCACAGATAGGACTGGGCTGTGTGGCAGAACTGTGTATATCTCAGGACTAGATGGACAGAAATATAAATCCTTGGCAGGGAAAAACAGCTCCATGTATGTACAGTATTTCCTCTGTGCATTTTGGGGTTGGCCTGTAAATCAGCTGTAAAAAAGACAAGCAGCCAGCAGTATCTACCTTCTGTTGCAGGGAATCCACAAACCATTCGTCACCCAAGAAGTTGCAGGCCATGTCTACATCTCCATTGTATACTAGGATTCGGTATTTCTAAAGGAGGAGAATAAGTTTGTATGAGTACCCAGGCTCTGCAGTATGTTATGACAATGCTTTCATAACTCCCAATATAGAATAAGCTCAGTGCGTCTCACCATAGTGCCAAGCAGCTTCAGGTAGTGCTCCTTCATGCTCTCATATACGCGGCCATAGTTTCGGTACACATCAAAACTGCAGAAAAAGGATTTTTTTTATTTATAAGATACTTGTACATGACGAGAGTATATAAAGAAATAAAACACATCAGAACCATCGAATAATTTAGGGGAAGTCCAAGCAAAATCATATAAATCTATATTACCATTACAATGTGATAGGAAGGGAGAAAATAGGGTACACCACATCCAAATGAAAGTAAAGTGGCCAATTATGGGTCCAGTCCATCCAAAAGTAATATTTTAGCTACTATGGGAGACTGGCACCCTTGGCCAGTCCATGGCTTCTTATATGACGTGGAATCGCTTTACCATAAATCCCAACCTTGTCCTGATCTACGTGGAAGCTTTGGGTGTTCCCACCTACTTTATGTGTTCCAGCTCCGTTTGCCATTGTTTGTAATGAATACAATTTTTGTATTGATTTTAAATTACTTGTTTTTTTAAAACAGTAACTCGTTTGTCTTTGTACTACTCTCCTGCAATTCCCTCAACATCCAGACAGAGAGGAAGGGCAACACTGTTACCCAATTAGCACTGGGCATGGCAGTAAAACCTATGAATCCAACAAATAGACCTTACTGATTAGAGGAGAGCACAGAGATTATGACTTCAGTGAGCTGCTGCTCCTGGATTATCCAATTACACTGAAAAAAAAAGGTATATTGCTCCGACTACAGTGGTGAATAGCATATGATCAGGACCTTGCCATGGTGTTTTATATTAGAAACATGGATCACAAATTCTTTGACAAGGCAGTTTAAATATATCCATTTTAATTGTGTATTTAGCCGTCTGCCTACACTTGCACTAAGTGGACTATGAACAACTATCATTTACTATTGCACGTGGGGGAGATCAACAAAAAAAAACCTCACTCAACGCCCACCTATCAGCTGCCAATGTAAAGATGATATATTGCTTTCAGTAAATAAATAATCCTATATCCAAAAAAAAAAAAAAAAATCTGTGATAATTGCAGATAGACCAGGTGATGTAATGTCCGCCACTGTGCTCACCAGAGCTGCCAACCTCTAAAAGATAATAGGAGGTCAAAATACACTTACAGCCTTGGCTTGCAACTTGCCTGCCAAAACATACCAACCTACACTGCAGAACCCCGACTGTCCTGAGTAGTTACATGCAGTAACTCAAATTATATGTGCACCATATAGAGTCTTCTTCCCTTGTATGAGAGTGCCGTTGATGTTACTAAGACCATACATGAGGGGGTTCCAAGGACAAGTTAAATCAAGGTGGACCTGCCCTCTGGACAAGCCGATGATTCTACTCATGAAAAAAAAGTGGAGTGGAGTGTTCCTGGCTGGTTCCATCTTCTGAAGTTTCCATACTTTAAAGCATATACTGATCTCATATCTTTAGAGGTGTCGTTCTGGTGGGTTATACATGTGGGCACGGCGCTGGAGGTTACATCAACTGGTGTATCTGCAACTATCACAGGGATTCTTTAGGGATAAAGTGCCACATGTTGGATTATTCATATGCGGCTAAGAGATTTTAATACAAGGCCACATACATTTCACACGTCTTAATGCTTCTTACCTGCAGACCTCCCATTTATTCACATCGGGGGATACATGCAATGCCTTCCTCACATAGGGATCATTCAAGAAGGTGCTGGAAGCTGTACTGTTCACACAGGGAGGGTCTAATGTCACAGGTTTATCGAGAGTGGATAGTAAGATCAATTTCTGCTCCACAAACAGAAATAAGGACAGGTCAGCATTAGTACCACAATACAATCAATTACCTAAAATCACTGAATGCATTCTGCTGCCCATAATATTTAAAAAAGGAAGTTAGCGGAGATCACATTATTGCATCATTTGTAAGAACTAAGGGGCAATGTAAGATTTCTTAATGCATACCAGTTTAAAGTTGAGACCGTGGATATTTATGTTCTTTAGTGTAGTACCACCCAAACCTACAAAGTTCATATTCCTGGACGTAAATGACTCCCTGGCTACTAGTGGCGTGGTCACCCTTCACTGCGATCCTGCTTTAAAGCAGGTCACATGATTTGCTTAGTTGAACACACAAGGTGGCATACAATCCACCTTTGGAAAATACTATTTAATCAAGGGAGTATGAATAGGAAACTTTTCTGGATATGTAACAAGGTACTTTCAGCTCTAAACTGAAGGAACAAAATCTGCATTTGTATATACGAGCTGCACTCAGAAGGGTGCCTGCCAACATGAGAGGTTCCTTAGAACACACCTACAGGGGAGTATTGCTATAGTTAGGCTGATCATTTAGGTTAGACCGGGCTGTGTGCATGGCATAATCTGTACCAGTTCCCATCATCATGGCGACGGGTGAATCTTGCCAAAAATTATCACTCGCATTATTGCACTCGGGACAACAAAACTTGCTGTGTAAAAACTGCACACAAAAATTACATCTTGCATCCCAGATGTTTGATAACTAAGCAAATAAAAGTAATTCACCGGCACACACTTGAAGGGTTTTTAAAGTATTGATATGTTTATTCAATAGCCACTGTCGCTCTGATGAAGGATCCCTGTGCGGACCCGAAACGTTAGCACCGTATGACAGTATGTGACAGTATGTGACATTGGGTATTGACATCCGCGGTGTTAAACCCCCTTCCCATCCAGGCCATTTTTCAGTATTCAGCGCTGCAGTACTTTGACTGACATTTATTCCGTCATGCAGCGCTGTACTGAAATTAATTTTATACCCTTTTTTGGGGACAGATAGAGTTTTCTTTTGGTGGTATTTATTCACCACTGGGGTTTATTTTTTTACTATATTAAAGGAAAAATGACCGAAATTTAAAAAAAAAAAGTTTCCCCTATATTAAATGATAAAACATTTATTATTACTAATCAGCCCATATGCATTTCTTCATTTCCTGCTGTTGAGGATAATGGCCTGTTCTCTATTGTTAACTACTTGTCTTTATTTCCCTCACAGGTCACAATGATGTTCTTATCACATTTAGCACTGCTTTTATTTTCACATAGACGCGAGTCAACATTTCCTGCTGTTGAGTTGTAGACATTAGAGGCCGGTCAGACAAGCAGGCATGATGCCCAAAACCACAGATGTCTCCAAGTGTTGCAGAACCCTGAAAAGTTGCCTCTACTAAGCTAGCAAGTTTATGTCAATGCCGATGGAGGTGAAAAGAGGAGAGCAAAGATGGAAGACAAAAGGAACTGAATTACCTTGTCGAACTGAGCGTGCATCTTTGGAGACAGTAGGCCTGGTAAATGCACAGCAATGTGATCTCCTTTATCCCTAAGGTACAAATAACACTTATAAGCCTGAAAATTGGGTAACTCATACAATACAAGTCAGTATATCCAAACATGCACATACATAGCAAGACAATGGAAACTGGTATATAGAACCTCTCCCAAAAATGAAAGACCAGCCCTTAAACCTCTTCCCAGCTCCCTGTTCTGCAGCCGGCATTTGCTCTCTGGACTAGAGCTGCAACAGTTAATCGATTAAGTCGATTGAAAACGTTGGCAACGTTTTCGATCGTCGATTCGTCGGCTATCGATTGCTTAGCCTGTTCGGGGCTCCGCACGCGGCCTGAGTCGCACGTCACGCGTCACACGCTGCTCCCGACGTGCCCACCGCACAGGCCGCCGCATAAGCCACGCCCACCGAACAGGCCGAAGCCGCGCACGCTGCTGGTCTCCTAGCCGTGAGCTCTCTCACCCGCCGCGAGCTGCCTCACCCGCCGCATAAGTCATGCCGGCCGCTGGTCTCCTCCTAGCCGTGAGCTCCCTCAGTCGCCGCAAAAGCCATGTCCACCGCTGGTCTCCTCCTCGCCGTGAGCTCCCTCACCCGCCGCTGGCCTGCAGACAATTGAGGGCCCACCTTCTAAAAGTAAGTCAGGAGTGGACTACACTAGAAATGCAACTGTAGTGATCTGGATGTAATGACATCAGCTTATTTTAATAGTGAGCACTTTTCAATTTAGTCAGAATCTCTCAAGGAAACCTCTTATTATTGAAAAGAGCCCTCCCCCTCCCCTTTCCATAATTAGAGGTTTCCTTGAGAGATTCTGACTAAATTGAAAAGTGCTCACTATTAAAATAAGCTGATCCTTGCCTGCCCTCAATACAAACCAGTGCAACTTGAATGATGTTCCATTTTGCTCATGTGGTTAGCACTTTCCTCCCTGTTCACATAGGAAAGGACTAGCACCTGTTCACTAGAGCTGCAGCAATTATTCAATTAAAATCGACGATCGACGCCGGTAAACCCGCTCACGCGACGCCGCTTAGCCACCCCCACGCTGAGGACATGCGTCTGGCCCTCTCCTCCCGGCGAGCTTCCCGACTCGCCACTGCCCGCCGAAACCAACAACGCCGCTGCTCGCCGACAACACCGTCATTCAAAGTAAGTCGAGATCAGCCGGGAGCTTTTTAATGTTTCCTGTTGTGTTTTTTTGGTTTTAAGCGGCACACTGCAGAACATTAGTAGCTATAGAGGAACAACAAACAGCCTGTATAATGTATTATTGCTGGGATTTGTTGTTCCTTTATAGCTGGTGGTATTCTCCATTGCGCTGGGCAATGTATTATTTCTGGGATTTGTAGTTCCTCTATAACTGGTCAATGGTAATCTGCATTGCACAGTATAATCATTATACAGCGCAATGCAGAATACCAGCATTTACAGAGGACTACATATCCCAGCAATAGTACATTATTGTATAATGTTGTACTATTGCTGGCATTTGTTGTATTCCTATATAGCTGGTGGTATACTGCATTTCGCCGTATTATCATTATACAGCGCACTGTAGAGGACTACAAATCCCAGCGATAATAAATGATATACAGCGCAATGCAGAATAACGCCAGCTATAGAGGAATACATCAGATCCCAGCAATAATACATTATATACAGTGCAATGCAGAATAACGCCAGCTACAGAGGACTACAAATCCCAGCAATAGTACATTATAGTATAATGTACTATTGCTGCATTCCTCTATAGCTGCTGGTATTCTGCA